AAAAAAAAAAAAAAATGTGATTGTGATTGTGGCAACATCTAACGAACATCTAAAGTTCCTGTAAAACCTCACATGTTTATGTGTATTTCATATTGAAATACAAGAAATTATAATTCTACATCCTGTTTTCTACCTTAAATTAACATTCATTTGAAGTTCAAGAATTAAATTCCCAATTCAACTCAATTATTAGTGCACAACCCTGGCGTTTTGCTCATCCAACATGAAGCAATAGCTGAGGCGAAGTGGCCTTTGGAATATCAATGCTTCCAATTCAGAGTCAACTTAAAAGCCTCAAAAAGAGAAAAGCAGGTCGAAAACAGCCACCATGCATGTCAATGCCCACAACACAAACATATTGATATTCTAAAACTGAACTAATACATGATGAATGCAATAGCAAACTTAGAACACTGGTCCTCGGGTGGAGAGACGCAGATGAAAAGCGATCTGAAAGACTCTAATTATTTTTCAGATCGATGTGGCTTTATTTAGTGTGTGTGTATTTAGATTAAAATTGGTTTTTAGAATCTACTTTTTCAGCCATTATCTTGCCTCTAATTCTTCCATTGTAATGAATACCAAATGGTCCAGAGGCCACGGCCAATCGATGCAGCTCTGCCTGATCTCTCTGTGCCAGCAAGGTTTATTCAAATGCATCTGCGGTCAAAGCACTTTAGGGAAAGTCAGTGATCAAATGAATGGCCGTGCACAAGTGTACTTACACAGGACTGTAGTAAGCTGAATATGGACCGCAGCTCTCGCGTATTCATGCTTAAAGAGAGAGCTATTGATCAGATTAGCCTGTGGAGGAACATAGCAATTGGTTTGTCCTGATAAGCAACCTCTTTCTCAGCTCCTCTCTCTTTTTGTGTGGTCTGCTGAGTGGGAGAGGTGGCAGGATTTCTTCCTCTAGCAGAACCCTGAGCCACCGCTGGATGTAATGCGGTCCATGTGGACGTGCAGGAACACAGATGAGATTATAAAAACAGATAGAGGTCAGAACCAGGAGACCTTCTCAACCTTCTCAATCAAGAATCGTGAATCGTCACAGCTCAAGACTCTTAGTTTTCACAGCGTCTCACAGTTAGCGTATAGGACCTCCTGGAAATCTTTTGGTTCATGAGCTCTTACCATTATAACATAGATATAAAATTGATCAGGGTACACTACACGGTAAAAAGTAGGAACCTGAATTTGTGAAGATTTATCCTGTTTTAACACTTAAAATTTTTTAAAGAATTTTTAAGTGTTAAAACAGGATAAATCTTCACAAATTCAGGTTCCTACTTTTTACTGTGTAGTGTACTCTGATCAATTTTATAATTTGTGAACCCAACTGTTACAGATGTAACTATCATATGTGTTCAAAGATTGGATATAAATCATAAGGGTCCATTGTAAAATAGAAGTACACTTTATTGTACTTTTAAAAAGAGTACTTATTATGGAAATGGTATAATTTAAAAGAATAATGTTTTTGGTTATGTAATTGCATGTTATGTACATTTGAATTAAAATGCATTCTAGTTGAAATTTTTACTAAATCAAACTTTTTAATTAAATTGCTGAACTTGCTTAAAGGGATAGTTCACCCAAAAATGAAAATTTGATGTTTATCTGCTTACCCCCAGGGCATCCAAGATGTAGGTGACTTTGTTTCTTCAGTAGAACACAAACAAAGATTTTTAACTCAAACCGTTGCAGTCTGTCAGTCTTATAATGGAAGTGAATGGGAATGACGGCTTTGAGAGTAAAAAAAAACATACACTAACAAAACCTATCTCTCAAATTGACCATTGACACTCTATCTACAATCTCAATTAGGAGTGTCAATGGTCCATTTGAGAGATAGGTGGCGGTAATGCACGTATAAGTCTGCGTAAAGCAAGAAGAAGAAGAAGACGCATCACGCACCGGACGCTCTCAGGACGCGCTCAGGACAGTTCAGACATTGCAGTGCAGGTTTTGTTTGTGTATGTTTTTTTTGACTCTCAAAGCCGTGATTCCCATTCACTTCCATTATATGACTGACAGACTGCAACGGTTTGAGTTAAAAATCTTCGTTTGTGTTCTACTGAAGAAACAAAGTCACCTACATCTTGGATGCCCTGGGGGTAAGCAGATAAACATCACATTTAAATTTTTGGGTGAACTATCCCTTTAAGTCCTACTTAAAGGGATAGTTCACCCAAAATTAAAATTCTGTCATCATTTATTCAGCCTCATGTTGTTTCAAACCTGTATGGTTTTAGTTTCTCTGATGAAACCAGGAGAAAATGTTTTGAAGAATGCGGGTTACCAAACAGTTTCTGGTCCCCATAGACTTCCATAGTATATTTCTCCCATTACTATGGAAGTCAGTGGTGATCAGCAACTGTTTGGTTACCAATATTTTTCAAAATGTCTACTTTTATGTAGAAAAGAAAGAAACTCACATAGGTTTGGAACAACATTTCATTTTTGGTCAACTATCCCTTTAAGCACATCTTTAATAATTACTTTTAGTGTCTTAAAGTGTGCTGCAGACTGTCACAATGTATGCTTTAATGTAACTTCTACTGAGACTTGTAGGTTATGGATTTAAACATATTTATAATTTAAAATTTGTAAGTGGCAAATTGCATTTAAAATATATTAAATATTAAATAACATTACAGTAAACAATTATAATTAAGTATTTTACATGTGCTTTAGTCGACTCGTTAAAATAACTTATTTAAAGCATGATAAAAAATATATTTTAAATATATTTTAAGTAAAACCTTTAATTTGACATTATTACAAATGGCATTTTGAAAGTTTACTAAGGGTGTCACGAAACATGAAAGTGCATTCTCTTTAAGTACACTTAAGTGGCCTTTTAAATATACGGTAACAGATATTTTAATGACCAATACTCACTGTTAACTAGCTGCTTATTAGCATGCATATTAATAGTGTTTATTAGTACTTATAAAGCACATATGTGACCCTTATGTCTTAAGTCGCTGGGGTATATTTTTAGCAATAGCCAATAAAACATTGTATGGGTCAAAATTATAAATTTTTCTTTTATGCCAAAAATCATTAGGATATTAAGTAAAGATCAAGTTCCTTGAAGATATTTTGTAAATTTCCTACCGTAAATATATCAAAACTTAATTTTTGATTAATAATATGCATTGCTACGACCTTCATTTGGACAACTCTAAAGGCGATTTTCTCAGTATTTTGATTTTTTTTTTTGCACCCTCAGATTCCAGATTTTCAAATAGTTGTATCTCGGCCAAATATTGACAGATCCTAACAAATCATACATCAATGGAAAGCTTATTTATTCAGCTTTCGAATAATGTATAAATCTCAAATTTAAAAAATCGACCCTTATGACTGGTATTGTGGTCCAGGGTCACATATTAATGGTTATTCTGGACTGCATGGACCATATTGTAGATCCCTTACATAACTACCTTAGTTACTATTAATAAGCAGCAAATTAGGAGTTTATTGAGAGAAACCCCTTAATATGTGTTCCTTTTTCTAAAGAGTTAGAAAGTATACTTTTAAGATTTTAAGTACACTACAAGTGCACATTCAATACAATTAAGAACACTCCTTTCCACAGTTGGTGAATAGGAGTCTATTATTCTTTTGCTATCTAAGTATCTGGAACAACTGTTATGTGACAGGACCTTGTATTCATCAATCCATACAGCACCTTGTTCCGTAACAAATACTAGACATGGTGGAGAAATGTTAGTCTAGATTAGTCATTATGTGTCTGTAATCTATAATTTTCTACACTGAAAAGCCTAAAATGGCTGACATCAAGGGCTTTGTTGTATAAGCACAGCATGCGGCCATCTTTGATAAAAGGATCCATTTGGCAATCAAATACACACCAATATGCTCAGGCATGGTTTGAACTCACCACATTAAAGCATTATGGTGCCTTACAGGCAGCTCCTTTCTTATTCATCCCACATACTAGGGATTTGTTACTCTAATAATGTTCCCACAAAGAAAAACTGTCCCCCCTCCTCAGTTCCCTTTCATCCCTTACAAACAGATCCACCTCCTCTCAGCGCTCTGATTAGGTTTTCCTTGAGCTGAAGACGCTCATAATGTGTGACTTATCACAATGAGTTGACTCTAAGCGAGCCGCCGCAGACAACTGGCGCATGGAAATGTAACACCAGCCGTCAGGCTTCAGGATCCTCATTTAATAACATGGATATGGATACACTCTTATAATCTCAAATGGACCACTCATTGACCTGTAGTGGCATAAAATTCATTTTCAACTGGTTATTATTAGCGTAGGGGTGTAGTTAAAGGAATTTCAATTAAATAGGTGAAAAATATCCCATAGACTCACATTGAAGTTGGTTGGGATCGACTTGGACTAGCCAGTAATCGCATAGCAACAGACATTAAACACCTTAGCATTAGCACCCTACCAAAACAAAGTAACGTCATGGCACCCATATTTGCACTGACAAGCACCAAGTTTTTCTTCTGAAATCGTATCACAATTCCGTTTGGTGTAGTTAAAGGAATTTCACCAAATTTCACCAAACGGAATTGTGAATATAATACGATTTCAGAAGAAAAACTTGGTGCTTGTCAGTGCAAATATGGCTGCCATGACTTTACTGTGTTTTGGTAGGGTGCTAATTCTAAGGTGTTCAATGTCTGTTGCTATGTGATTGCTGGCTAGTCCAAGTCGATCCCAACCAACTTCAATGTGAGTCTATGGGATATGTTTCACCCCATTTAATTGTTCTCTAGGTTAAATGTATAAAAGTGTAGTAATTTTCATCATTGTTCAACAGATTTTCGTTGGAAGATTAACCTATGAATGGTTAATTTCATGTCTTTGCACTGGAATAGGAGTATTTTCACCTTCATCATCTAAGTCGGTAAACTGAAAGATCACAGGGTTTGATAGAACCATGAACTAGCAGCATTTTGCCCTTGAGCAAAATACTCAATTCCACATTGTTCTGAATCATTTTTGCAGTTCCTTTTGAGCTCTGTAACTTTTAAGAACAAATATGCTTCAATTATAACTTCAACTATAACTATTAAGTAGCTGGGTTATTTACACAATATCAACAAAGAACTAGACTTGCCAATGCCAAGTAAGGGATTATGATTTACCTTACACGAGTGTCACATGTCAGTTTCTTTACTTCTTATCTTTTGAAATTTTGATAATATAAGGAGTTCTGTAATTTTATCAAACCGAGTAAGACAAATCAACTAACATCATAATACGTCACAGAATTCATGAATTTCATTGCTAATACTTACTGGTGTTCATACTGTTGTTTTCCCTCCAAAATGTTGTCACTTCCTGCTGGATGATGTTATCAAGGAAATGACTATTTCCAGATTTTATAAATGACTAACAGGATAGGAAGTATATAATATAAAGTAGCCTAATATATATAATTTAACATATTACTTGCAAGAGATCATTTTGTTTTCACTTTGTTCATTAAATTTTAAATCTGTTATAAAAGTAAACAAACTAATATGAAAACTGTTTAATATTTTATCCAGTATATTAAAATATGAAGGAGATTTTATGCCTCTCACGATTTAAAATACACAATACCACAATGACGCACACCGTCGATCTTGCAGGCAGCTCTGGAGAAGATGTTTCATGGCTTATCGAACTATCTGTGCAATTTCGATTCAGTGAGAATAAATAGGCAATGAGATAAATGAAAACACTTCAGCCTCCGTTGTGTTCCCGCTGGTATGACGATGAGCAATCCCTGCAGAATCACAATCACTTCATCTTCGCACTTTCTTTCTTCTGTTATTCTCGGAAATGCTTTTCTTGATTTGAAAAAAAAAAAAAAAACTCTTGACAGGTCGGCCATTCTTCAGATATGGCCTGTGACCTTCACACACACTACCTAGAACAAAAAGGTAACTATAAAACCCAGTGACTAAAAATAAAAGCAAATGTCAACCAACACACGCACACTTTCTCTAAAAGTACACTTGTTCACACACACAGGCTGTGAGTCAAACAGAAACACTTTTAATGATCATACTCCACATAAACAGCATGTGCAAAGTTCCGATCAGCAATAAGCCTTCTAATTGGATTAGAGCAAATTACCATTTGTAATGTCAGCTCAGTTTTAGTCATTACAATAATCTTCTGATCCTGCCACTGCAGAGACATTAATTACTACCTAAGACAATGAACCTGAAAAAATATAACATGATGTCTATAATTTTCCATTGGATTATATCAGCTACATGTTCATGCCTTGCAGAATGGGCTATTATTTTACCGTAGTTACTTCTGGGTATATCTCATTAAAATATGCGGTCTTCAGGTGAGTGTAAAAAATACTATTGGTAAAAATGTACAATAAGGTCCCATTTGTTCATTTTAGTTAATGCACTAACTAACATTAACTAAGACAAATTCATTTGTTACAGTGTTTATTCACTTTTGTTAACTGTTCATTGTCAACGTCAGCTCAGGTCCATTAAATGATACTTAAGAGATTAGTTTAACATTGTATTACTAAATGATGAAATTAATATTTACGAAGATTAGTAAATGCTTTTGAATATATTTTTAGCATTAGTTCATGTTAACTAATGTTAACAAATTGAACCTTATTGTAAAGCGTTACCGTACTATTCTCTGCAAAACTTTTTTGGGTTCCCTCTTACCTCCACCAAAAAAAAAAAAAAAAGCAAGCAAGCCAGACAGAAAGACACTGATTGAATCATTTCGGCTTCAGCTGTTGAATGGAGATGTGGGATTTTCTAATGTTTCCACTGCTTCAGCCTCCAGAAATCACGGATCAGGATCAGGATCAGGATCAGAACAGAGATTTTAGGATGGGATAGACGAGTCCAATCAGAATGCTGGCACTCAGGACACTCCCTCCAGAGCTCAGCCTATCACCATACTGGTTAAGCCCCTAATTCCTCTAGAGATTAAAATGACTCCCAGCTCCGAAGCAGATTTATGAATTTGAATATGTAAATATGAACAGACCATTAATACCTGAACTTCATACTCGCCACCTCCTCCGGGCTTTCCATCACCGTTGACATCGTACTGTAACAAGGACATGGGGTGAAGAGAATTGCAGAGAAAAAGAGAGAGAGACGGTGAGGAAGTTACAGTAAGTGAACACTAAGTCATAACGTTTATTTATAAGCAATATTTTCTTTTTAAATGTATTTTTATAAGCAGCATTTACATTAAAAATGACATTTATTTTCTCCGTAGGGAAAACGATCAACCCCAAACGCAAATCAAATCATATGATTTCAAGAAAGACAGCGCGTGTATGAGCGAGTGTATTGTTGAGCTGCAAGTTTTTATCCTGTTTAAAGTAGGGCTGTCTGTCGATTTAACACACTGCCTCGCCCCAGACCTGCGTAGGTCATCTTACATTTCATAGTTTATTGATAATGAGCATGATGTGGGGCAACAACTCACTGTGTGGTGCAGCCTATAGAATGCAGTTATATGCTAAATAAAGTAAAATAAAAAAAATCGTATTTATTTAATTTTGCAACTGTTTACTATGTCTTGTCCAATGACAAAGTGCGAAGCGACAATGCAATGCGACATTTTTGAAAATAACACATTTTAATAACATTTTCATTGCCATTAAAGTGAAATTACTGAACCTAAACATAGAAACATAGAAGACGATTTAAAAGAAAAAATGTCAGATGGACGTTTTTGCATCTGAAGTCTTCATATATGCATTTTTTGCAATAAACAAAATTGAAAAAGTGGCCGGCCACTAATGCGGTCTATGGTTCAATTTTTCTTGGTCACCGTGTTGTTTGTTCATCAGGAATTGACTGACTTCATGGTGAATTTTAAACTAATGCAGAAACTAATAAAGGTCCAGCTTTAGGATAGGGCTGTATCCAAAATCGGACACTATTCCTTACATTACTCCACTGATATAGTGACACAGTGATTTCAGACACAGTCCAGAGTGGATTTTAGTGGACTTTACCTTCTCAAACATGGCCTCATATTTGATATACGCCCGCCAGTTGGTCTGAATCCACCGTTCGGCCAATCTGAAGGCGAGCTCTTTAGCGTGGGCCGAATCGAGCCTGGAGAGACCTGCAAAGACGTGTTGCATGGGGTGAGAAGTGGGTGGGTGATTTAAATGGCAAATTCACCAACTACTGAGCATCATTAATCACATCTTAATAGTCACTTCCCAAACTCAGACGAGATGTGACAGCAGGTAAATTGAATTTTGAAGGGAATAATGTGATTTAGTTCACACATTGAACAGACTGGAGATTCTTCAGGCGCACTGCATCAAGTTATAACTGTTGGACGAGAACTAAACTGTTATTGTCTATAGAATCACAATGTTTCATTTTTTCAGGCATGTTCTCTCCTAATCATTTGGTTCCCAGTGAAACAAAAGGCAAATTTGGCAAATGGCAATAAAGTTGCATGACATGCCTTCATTCTCAAAAACTATGAACAAAACTACATGAAGTTCAAGAAAAATTTTAAATATTAAGAAAACTGTACAATCGTAATGACATACTGTGCTGATTCAGCACTATGTGTCTAAAGTAAAACATGATCACTACTAGCCTAGAGAGCGATTTGGCTACCAGTTAACATTAACCAAAACCCTGCACATTCTCAGTCCCGGTAGGGTGACCAGATGACCGTGCTTTCTTACAATTAGCCTGGATGTTGCAAAGTATTCGGCCCAACTGATGTAGCTCTTTATTTAATACGTCCTGCTCTATTAATAGGTCAAAGAACTACACAGCCCACCCACTCTCATTACATAAGGCTACACATCACACTGCTGCTGGCTTTTACATGAGAGTAAAAGTGTAATGCTAGCTTAAAATGTTTATTTGTAGCAATCAACTAAAGACCATGGCTTGAAAAATAGCCAATGCCAAGACTGTCCTGACATTTGGTCACTTTAAGCCTAGTTCATGTCATTTTCACCAAAAAGGTGTCAAATTATCATAGAATACAGACAAATACACTGATGAATTATGCACAATAAGACTGAAAACATGTATTTAAATAAGCAAATGAGGTCAATATAAGATTTATATATATATATAGGGATTAAAGTTCCGTTGTTACTACGGATTTTCTTCGACCAAACCCCATTCCTCAGCCATACCTGTCACACACCCAGTTTAAGAGCAGTTTTTTCTTCTTGTAATTAGGAGCGCTTGTCCTCCTAATTTAAACATTTAGGAGCACCTTCTGATCAATAATCAAAAATTCTGATCAAAAATTAGCCTTCCTAATACGAGGTGACATTTGACTCCTTAAAGTGACTTACAGGAGTATTTTCTTTTTACCTTTGTAATGGCATCATTTTCATCTGTCAAATTCAAACATTTATGTTTATAATACAACTATATTATCAGATCTTAATTGCTTCATGCACCTATACTCATATATAACAAACATTAACACTGTGAACTTCTGTAAAGCTGCTTTCGCTATTCATAGTGCATTGTGAATAGCACTATACAAATATATATGATTTCAATGATGACTGTCGCAAGATTAAATGACCACATACCCTCTATAATCATGTGTTGAAGCGGAGGCCAGGCGTTGGGCATGTCCCACTGCTGCCCACTTTCACTAAGAGAGGTGGGAACCCCGTTAGGATAGTCCAGACCTCCACTACCCTACACAGAGAAAGAGAGAGTGAATAAATGACCAGAATGAGGAAAGGTTTTTTGAAAAGCAGAAATATTGTGCAAGGAGTGCCATCTGCTGTTGAGCATGGAGTTTGCTTCAGGGAAATGCAACCTCCCACTGTTTGAGATCTCACTCTTTCCTGTGAAACCTAAAAATACTTTTCTCTTCTGTTTAAGATTAATTAATAAGGAGAAAAATTGGAAGTGAACTGTAGTGTTACTCAAGAGGGAATATATTTGATACAAAGAAATAACTATAATAAGTTACTGTGAGTGTGGATGGAGGGTCTTATTAAAGCAGCATTATGTGAAAGGTGAGACATCTGGAGCTTGTCTGCAGGAAGGAAGCATTGCATATGTTGTATACCGTCTATGTCGACGGTCTATGATATGACCCACTATAAAAGGTCAGTAATTAACATAAGGGTTTGTAAAGTGGCAGGCTCACCATCAGGTACTGCACAGCCTGATTGGCCATTTCTGGGTTAGAGTAACATTGTGCCCAGAGAGGCGCCAGGTTAGATGGGTAGAAAGACAGGTGCCGGGTCTCGTTCACCAGGCTGAAATCAAACCAGGCTCCTCTTTCTGCATCCCACAATAGACTTTCAACCACTTTAATTCTAGCAGAAAGTGCCTTCTCATATTCCACTGCCTCCTCTTCATTACCTACAGAAAAAGATGTCAGAGTGCTTTTAATATAACACACAAACCACGCTGTTCATACTCTGCTGCCTTACCTAAGAGAACTAAACAAGCATTTCTACCAAATATACACTACTACTGTTCAAACGTTTGGGGATCAGTACATTTTTATACTTTTATTTAGCACACTTTTTAACACTTTTACTCTTTAACACTTTTTTGCACTTTTAAACACTTTGACTGTACATTGTTACACAATATTTCAAATTATGTTATTTCACTCTATTTCAAATAAATGCTGTTTTTTGAATGTTCTATTCATCAAAGAATTCTCAAAAAAAAAAAAAGTAAAGTGGATTAAGACATTTTGGGCATGTACATTATTAATATATAATAGAGAGAGAGAGAGAGAGAGAGAGAGGTTATTAAATAAATATCTATTTAAAAAATTTCTAATTTCAGCGCCCAGAGAAGACAGATGACCATCAGTCATCCTTTAAGCAGTAGCCCAATGAAGTTATTCAAGTAAATAACATCAGCTGATTAGGTGGATACATTACCTAAAAGTGATAGCCGAATATTTGGAAGATCAAACTAAGTATAATTTCCTCTGTGTGAAATCTTCTGCCTTAACTTAAATCTCTCTAATTTACTGAAGTGATATTATTGCTGACTTGAAAATTATTAATGACAAAAATAAATGATTACCAAAACATTTGTTATATATGATGACTAACTATAAATGATGTTTCACTAAAAACGTGGACACAAAGATTGCAGGAAAAAAGGGAAATGGAAACGTCACGCGCATTACTGGTTTAAAAGTGTGCACCCTTCTGGGAATTAAATTGTTTACTCAGAATTCAAACTCAAAAAAAAGGCTGATGACTGATATAGTGCACCATAACAGAAAAAGGAGTAATTTTGGATGATTTTATGACAAAGTTTATTGATAAGTTTGCTAGTTCTAGTTTTCAAATTTTGACAAAGGTTTAAACACATCCTTTATGATACAGTAATAATACAATAAAGACAGGACAGAAAATGATAGGGAGAACACGTGAAATAGGGAAATTAGTTTGAATCGTGAACTAGCATCATCCTCTGTAAACGTATGCCAATTTCTAGTCAACCAGTATCTTTACATTTTACGAAATAGTATTGTATGAGGAAAATATGCGTTGTAGTCCAAACGAGTCGTTCGTTGTAGTTCTTAAAAAGTTATATCTGTTAAATAAAATATCTCCTTTTGAAGTGGACTTTGAGCTTTGTAACTTTGCAGATCTTTTTTATGCTCAAACAGCAACATTACAGACTAACTAAAGTTGAAAAAGTGAAAAAGCATAATTTAAAACCTTTAAATCAGTAGTGTGTGTAAATACACAGAAGTGTGTTTTTACTCTTTTACCCAGAATCCTGTGGAAGGAGGCCAGCAGACGCTCATTGCGGCACATAATGGCATTGAGGTCAGCAGGCAGGATGGAGCTTGTCTGTGTGTCGCTCAGGGTGCCGTTGTTTCTGCCTGTGCTGTCTATATACCAGCGAGAAGAGAAATCCCAGCCTGACTCTGCACCAGATGTCAGTTCTATCCAAAGTTTCTTCTGAGCCTCTGTAATACACAAACAGATTCATATTCATGCACATAAACACAAAGAAAATACCTTTTAATATGACTCCTTTAATGATCTTGTTGTGGTACGTGTAAGCATCAGAATATTAAAGGAACAGTTGAAATTAATTGTAAATGTATTCACCTTCAGGCCATCCAAGATGTAGATGAGTTTGATTCTTTATTGGAACAGATTTGGAGAAATTTGACATTACATCACTTACTTGCAGTGAATGGGTGCCGTCAGATTGAAAGTGCAAACAGCTGATAAATATAAATATCTTGTGAAGCAAAAAGCTGTTTGTAAGAAACAAATCCATCATTAAGGAATTGTAACTTTAAACTGTCACTTTTGACCAAAATACCAGTCCTTCATCCAGTGAAAAAGTCCATCCCCTGCTGTCCTCGCACATCAAAATCTACCAACATATTTGTTTAGATCTGTTTTGGACTGTTTTCACTTAACATATTTCTCTCCTAATTCAGACAAGACAACTTTTTCACTGGAGAAAACAAAATTATGGATAGAGTACTTGAGCCAAGAGCAACGGTGTGACGAGTGGTGGCGGGACCGAGAGCCGTGGGAACGGAGCGAGGCTGGTGGAGTAAATGCTAATGTGCGACACCTGCGCCACTCACCGGTCTCGAGTCCCACGGAGGAGCTCCGGAAGGATAAAAGGTGGAGTGACGACAGTGTTGGACGAGAGAGGACCAGGCCTGGATTTTATTTTGTGTTTTGTGTGCGGCAGTCGTCCGCGAGCAGCTGCCGCTTTACTTTCATGTTGTGTTTGTTTATTTTATTAAATTGTTTAAATGTTTGCCGGTTCCCGTCTCCTTCTTCCGGAGCTCCTCCGTGGGACTCGAGACCGGTGAGTGGCACAGGTGTCGCGCATTAGCATTTACTCCACCGGCCTCGCTCCGTTCCCACGGCTCTCGGCCCCGCCCCTCTCGTCACAAACGGTATGAAGTCAAAAATGACAACTATTTTTTTGCTTGACATGACATTAATTGATAGACTTCAGTCATTACTTCTAGATTATTGTGATATTTTCATCAGCTGTTCGGACTCTCATTCTGACGGCACCCATTCACTGCAGAGGATCCATTGGTGAGCAAGTGATGTAATGCTACATTTCGCCAAATCTGGTCTGATGAAGAAACAAACTCATCTACGTCTTGAATGATCTGAAGGTGAATACATTTTCAGCAAATTTTCATTTTTGGGTGAACTATTCCTTTAATAGGTAAAAGTAGTCAAAATATTTGCATTTTGGCCTCAATAGAGCACCTAGATTCCTACCTGCTGACAGGCCCTCAGCCAGTTCTACATCATCACTGTACGACTCAGGTCTGCAAATAGTCACAGATTTAAATACTGGAATGCATCCAGATGTGTTACTTTATTACAGTATTGAGAATCACAGTAATACGAATGAAACTTAAGATTTCTTTATGCAAAATAAAATTGCATTTTGCGTTTGGTGGTGACCCTGACATGCTCTTAAAATGCACAGTGTTAATGAATTGTCTCACCTCGGCCTGTCCACTGGTACATTATATCGATTCAGGATGTGAGTCAGTCCACTCATCGCCACAGCAAGAGAGCGATTCTGCATCCAAAAGCTGTACTCTGTTTCCAGTGCTGGCAAAACCTGCCTAAACACACACAGAGCACATGCGGTGCAGAGGTGTTGTTCAGAGCGGTTCAGTGCAACACCTCAATATTCAACAAACCTGCAGGAGGGCAGTTTAGTCAGAAAGGTTACCTGAGGAAGTCTTTGTCTCCGGTGACCTCATAGAAACTTTCCACCATTAGCGGAAGGAAGGGAGGCTGACTACGCCGCTCGTAATAAACACGACCACCGTTTGGGACAAAGCCGTATCTGAATGGGAAGTGAAGGGAAACAGTAAGCGAGTGCTTTACTGCTTAAGTCCTTTTGTATTATTAACAGAAAAAAGCTTGTGCATTTCTTAGTTAATATTATGAACTGAAGCAATCATACTTAGATCATCATTATTAGAAAAACATACAGATTATGTCAAGGTGAATAAATAATGAATTTCATTATGAGTCATTTATGAGTCAAATATCTGTTATTTAGCGGTAATGTTTTGAAACAATGAAACTGATCGTGTGAAAATCAAGAGAAATAAGTGCACCTTTCCACCAGGTACACAAAGTTCAGAATCATTCCTCGAGCCGTCTCTGTCATCTCTGACAAAAGGAGACCATTTATTACCCAATATGAGTCCCTGAAGAACAAAAACACCTTGATTATTACAGTTTCTAAAGAAAATATGAGTGGGTTTTGCCAGTGCAGAACTAATCATTATGATGCTATTGTGTTGTGGGTAGTTGTCAGGGTGCTGCTATGTGTTTATTAAAGTCACCATGAAATCAGATTTGACAATATTGATCATATTTATCCGTGCATGATGTGTGCACCAGCAAGAGGGCTGGCTGTGGACATACACTGACACCTAGTGGTGTGGATGCAGAATTACGCATATATTTGTCAACTACCAATGCCAATGTAGAAATTCACTGTATGCCACTAACAGCCATGATTCATATATATTTCATGAGTGAAAGTGTCCAATAACAGTGTGGTCACCAAGAAAAAACTGAACAACAGAGAGTGCATTAGCGCTCGTCCACTTTTTCAGTAATACTGGTTCCAGAAGTGTTTTCTTCCATTTTTACAATAGGGATTTTAAAACAAGTCTTTGTAAAGTACAACCCCAATTCCAGAGAAGTTGGGTCATTTTGTAAAAATACAATAAAATCAAGATTCTTAGATTTATTCATTCTCTTTAACTTATTTAATTGACAAAAGTACAAAGAAAAGATTTCCAAAGTTTTCACTGATCAACGTAAATGTATTTTGTAAATATGAACAAATTTTGATTTTGATGGCTGCAACACACTCCAAAAAAGTTGGGACAGAGGCACGTTTAACACTGTGTCACATCAACTTTCCTTTTAATTACAATGTTTCATTTTTGGGGAATTGAGGATACTAGATATTAAGGTTTTGCAAGCAAAATTTTTGTCCAGTCTCTCTTGAAACAAGACTTCAGAAGCTCAGCAGTGTGTGATCGTCGTTGTCTGATTCTCCTTTTCATGACTGGTCATACATTTTCAAAAGGAGTCAGATCTGGACTGCAGGCAGGCCAGTCTAGCACATCCACTCTGTCTCTACAAAACCACGCTGTTGTAGCACATGCAGAATGAGAGCTGGCATTGTCTTGATCTAATAACCATGGACTTCCCATTAAAGACATCATCTTGACGGCAGTATATTTCTCTGTACAACTCCAATATATGCCTCCATGTCAATGGTACCTTCACACATATGCAAGTCACCCATGCCGTTTGCACTGATGCACTCGTATACCATGACAGACGTTTGCTTTTGCATCCGTCACTGATGAAAGTCTGGATGGTCCCTTTGGTCTTTGGTACTGAGAACTCTAAATCCATTTTTCCTGGAAACAAGATGAAATGTGGACTCATCTGCGTACAGCACACATTTTCACTGTCTTTTTGACTATCTGAAATTAGCTCTGGCCCAGAGAACCCGGCAGCATCGCTGCATAGAATTGATGTATAGCTTTCTCCTAGAGTAACATATATTCAAGTTGCATTTCTTGATGCAGCAGCAGACTGTGTTAAGTGACAGCAGTTTTCTGAAGTACTCCTGGGCCCATGTGGCTATATTTAACACCGCAGCATGATGATTTCTTATGCAATGCCATCTGAGGGCTCAAAGGTCAAGCACATTCAACTGAGGTTTCCTGCCTTGCCCTACATGTACTGTGATTTCTCTGGATTCCCTCTATCTTTTCACAATATTACGTGTGGTAGTTGGTGAAAGACATAAATTCTTTGATATTTTGCATTGCGAAATGTGATTTTTGATTTGTCTGACACTTCTCTCATGAAATTTGGCACAAAGTGATGAGTCATGATCCAGCTTTGCTGACAGAGATGCTCCTTTTATAACCAAACATGATACCTTGACCTATTGCCAGTTCACCTGCTTACGGTGAACTGTTTCTAAACCGTTTAACGTGGATATTCTATAACCTTTTCACTTTTATTTTGCCTCTGTCCCAACCTTTTTTGGAATGTGTTGCAGCTGTCAAAATCAAAATTTGTTCATATTTACAAAATAAATGTACGTTGGCCAGTGAAAACTTTGGAAATCTTTTCTTTGCACTTTTGTCAATTAAATAAAAGTTAAAGAGAATGAACACAACACAATCACAGATTCTTGATTTTATTGCATTTTTACAAAACGTCCCAACTTCTCTGGAATTGTGGTTGTATTATAAACCATGAACCAAGCCAAGCAGCCATGGGATGAATCACAGCTATACAAATATATTTATTTGAAGCAAAAAAGTATTACAAAATCAGACCAAAAAGAAATGTAGAATACAATGCATAATTGTGAAATATAAAGCTACTCGTTGATTAAACCTATAGAAAGAATACATTAAGTTTATTGCGAAATATGAATCAAGCACACACACATATACACATATACACACACACACGCATATATATACACACACATACATATATATATATATATTATACAGTGCCCTCCATAAATATTGGAACAGTAAAGACAAAATTGCTCCGTTTGCTGTGGAGTCAAGAAATCTGTAAATATGTCAAAGATTTTTTTTTTTTAGAGTTTCATCCCCTTATCTGATGTGAGCTTAAGTATTGTAACAGTTACCTCACAGGTCTCTCTACGTGATCAGCTGTGTCCTGTTGCATTAATTGTTAAGGTATTAAAAGCAGGGAATGTGTTGTATCAGTTATATCCATTGCTTCTGCATTCTGAGTCTTGCATTCAATGATGACACACACAAACCAGGATGAAGACGAGGGAGCTGACTTCGAGAGAAAAGCAAGCAATTTGGATGCTAAATGAAAAGAGGAACTCAATTAGAGCTATACCAAAAACAAAGGGCATAGAGAAATCAAGCATTTGGAAGCCGCCGGCGACATCAGCAACCCACAACAACCTACAACAACCTGATCGGCTGAGAAAAACAATAGTAGTTGATGACAGACAAATCATAAAAGCTATGAAAATAAACCCTAAAGTACGTGTCTGTAAAATCACCAACAACCTCGAGAAAGCTGGGGTGATACTCTGATAATCTACTGTCCGCAGGAGACTTTCACACAGAATTACAGAGGCTACACGGCAAGATGCAAACCTCTGATCAGCAAGTTTGCAAAAAAGCACAAATGTGAGCCAGTAGAGATTTGGAACAGAGTTTTATGGACAGATGAGAAATATTAACCTTTATCTAAGTGATGGGAAATATTAAAAGCAGGGAATGTGTTGTATCAGTTATATCCATTGCTTCTGCATTCTGAGTCTTGCATTCAATGATGACACACACAAACCAGGATGAAGACGAGGGAGCTGACTTCGAGAGAAAAGCAAGCAATTTGGATGCTAAATGAAAAGAGGAACTCAATTAGAGCTATACCAAAAACAAAGGGCATAGAGAAATCAAGCATTTGGAAGCCGCCGGCGACATCAGCAACCCACAACAACCTACAACAACCTGATCGGCTGAGAAAAACAATAGTAGTTGATGACAGACAAATCATAAAAGCTATGAAAATAAACCCTAAAGTACGTGTCTGTAAAATCACCAACAACCTCGAGAAAGCTGGGGTGATACTCTGATAATCTACTGTCCGCAGGAGACTTTCACACAGAATTACAGAGGCTACACGGCAAGATGCAAACCTCTGATCAGCAAGTTTGCAAAAAAGCACAAATGTGAGCCAGTAGAGATTTGGAACAGAGTTTTATGGACAGATGAGAAATATTAACCTTTATCTAAGTGATGGGAAAGCAAACGTGTGGAGAAAAAGGGAAATGCAAATGATCCTAAGGCATACAGCCTCATCTGTAAAGCATGGGGGAGGTGGTGTCATGGCATGGGCATGCATGGCTGTCTCTGGAACAGGCCCTCTCAACTTTAATGATGACAGTAGCAGAATGAATGCAGAAGTGTACACGACTCAATGCTCAGATTGCACGCAAGAGATCTGCAACTAAATAATAGCTTTTAATCTTTTGCATCTGCCTTAAGTTCAACTGTCCAATGCTTATGCTCGCATCAAATAGTGGGATGAACTCTAAAAGTGCTGTCCTTTTTATTTGGTATTTGGTTTTATAGGTGTTGAAACAGCTAATAATAAAATGTGACATTCTGTAGTTTGTCTCATATTCATCTTTTAATCATATTTACTCCACAGCAACCAGAGCAATGGAACTGCAAATGATCCTAAGGCATACAGCCTCATCTGTAAAGCATGGGGGAGGTGGTGTCATGGCATGGGCATGCATGGCTGTCTCTGGAACAGGCCCTCTCAACTTTAATGATGACAGTAGCAGAATGAATGCAGAAGTGTACACAAACATCTTGGCTACCAATGTTCAAGAAAATGCCACCAGATTCATTGGGAAGCGCTTCATATTGCATCAGGACAATGACCCAAAACACCCTGCCAGTTCAGTCAAGGAGTTTATCAGGGCAAAGAAATGTAAAGTCTTAGATTGCCCAAATCAATCTCCAGATTTAAATCCGATTGAACATGAATTTCACCAGATGAAGAGAAGACTAGCAACAGTTGGAATTGGCTGCATCACAGGCTTGAAAAAGCATTTCAAAGGATGAGACCAAGATTCTGGTGATGTCTATGGGTCGCAGACTCAATGCTCAGATTGCACGCAAGAGATCTGCAACTAAATAATAGCTTTTAATCTTTTGCATCTGCCTTAAGTTCAACTGTCCAATGCTTATGCTCGCATCAAATAGTGGGATGAACTCTAAAAGTGCTGTCCTTTTTATTTGGTATTTGGTTTTATAGGTGTTGAAACAGCTAATAATAAAATGTGACATTCTGTAGTTTGTCTCATATTCATCTTTTAATCATATTTACTCCACAGCAACCAGAGCAATTTTGTCTTTACTGCTCCAATACTACTACTATATAATACTAATATATATATATATATATATAGTGCCTATAAAAAGTATTCATATATAGGCTTCATATTTTTCACGTTTTGTTATGTTGAAGCCTTATGTTAAACTGCTTTGAATTACTTTTTTTCCCACATCAATTTACACTCCATACACCATAATGACAGCAAAAACAGAATTGCCACAGCTTCGTAAATTTATTAAAAATAAAAAAAACTGAAATAAGCACATCGCATAAGTATTCATACCCTTAACTCAGTACTTGGCTAAAACACCTTTACAGCCTCAAGTTTTTGCTCTGATATGCATTTTCAGCTGTTAGACCTTTTATTAAGTCATGTGTGCCTTTCCAAATCATACACATTCAATTGAATTTGCCACAGGTTAAATTCACTTGAAGTGTAGTAACATCTACAAGCAATATGAATACCCTGAGCTAAATTTCAACTGTCCCAGTTAAGGCTATGATTACTTATGCATTGGAATCATTTACATTTTTTATTGTTAATAAATTTGCAAAGATGTTAAAAACCTGTTTTTTTCTTTGCCATTATGATGTATGGAGTGTAGATTGATTTGGGAAAAAAAATCTAATAAAAAAAAAAAAAACTTTAATTCAAAGCAGTTTAACATAAGGCAATTGTACTGAAACAATATGAATTCTGTAGCAAACATACCTTCACACTCATGCAGATACTTTTTCCAAAAGTGTACTGTTGTGTTCTCTTTTTCTTGTTGCTCTTTTTCTTCGGAAAACCGGACAGTAAAGAGCTCCATGACAGATTCGGCCGTCAGCCTTTCCACAGGCCCACAGAAGACTGAATGGAAAGCCTCTGTACACATCTGAACCTGCTCAAACAGTCCTAGTGTCCTCAAACCCTCACGAAATCTGAGAAAGGCAATATGAACTTGAATGAGCATTTACTTACAGTGAGAAAAACTGAGAAAAGTGAGAAAAAACATTAAACATATCTGCTGTATACACTACCATTCAAAAGGGAAAAAAATTCTAATAAAAAAAAAAAAAAACTTTAATTCAAAGCAGTTTAACATAAGGCAGCAACATAAAATGTGAAAAAAAAATTAAGGGGTATGAATACTTTTAATAGGCACTATATATATATATATTTATTTATTTATTACAAGTTACCTTTTCAAAATGTAATAAGTAGTGTAAGTACTATTGCAATTACTTTATTAAAGTAATGTAACTGATTACATTAGATTACTTTTCAAAATTTCTAACTGATGTTTTCAACTGTTGATCATTTAAACCAGCCAGAGTTAACCTTACAGTAGTATTCAACACGAATAACTCTTAGACTTTCAAATCCTTCATCGCTTGATTTAAGATTAAGATTATAATAATTAAATTTTAAAGCACAGCCACCACAAATTTCCAGCACTGGAATGCATTTTTATAATTTTATCAGAAGTAACCATCTTTGTAATTGTTAACATTTTCACAAGTAACTGTAATTTAATTACGTGCGTTATCTCTCTCTCAGTAACTGTACTGGATTACAGTTACATTTATTTCGTCATTAAATTATGTAATGCTGTTGCATGTAACTAGTTACTCCCCAACACTGTATGTACTGTATATGTATATGTAAAGTATTTACTTCATGGGAGTGGCCAGTCCCTGATTGCTGGAACTTTCTGCCCAGCATCATGGGTAATGTGGTTTTTCCCCATTAATTCCACTTTTAAACACAACTATTTTAAAAATGATTTGCAATAATGCAAACAGATGACTTCAACCAAAGCATTTACCATTGACTCACAACCATGGAACTCACAACAGGTCTGTCTGTAAAGGTTTTCGGTTACGTCTGTTTGTATGTATGTGATAAAGGGAGAGACTAACCAGTAATAGAGTTCCCTAAAACGGCCACCAGGCACGACGACTGGGTGTGGGGTGTAAATCTGTGAGTACAGCTCTGGGTGGTCTCTGACATCATCACGGATCTGCACATCCATGTATATAGTAAGAAGATCAATATTAGTTAGTGGTGCACAGTCCCATACATTAGTGAAAACCAACATTTACCTTTCGACCAAGGGACTTCCATAAACTGTGCAGTTCTTCAGCCCAACTGCGATATTTTGAGTCAGAAACCCTGGACAAGAATGTTGGTCTATGGAAGAGGGAACAAAGATTGTTGTGGCTTCATTAACATTCAAATTTAAAAGAATCGTTCACCCAGAAATGAAAATTCTGTTATTATTCACACACCCTCAGGTCATACAGTTCCAGTATGGCTTTTCTGGAACACTTGTGTTCCACTATCAAAGTAAAGGAATTCCAGTTTAGAACAACATGACGTTGTTTCATATTTGGGGCGAACCATTTCAAGACAATTCCACTCAAAATGTTCTTACTTTGAATGCCAGTCTGGAGGAGTCCACTGCTCGAACTCCTTACCCGGCTCTTCAAAGTATGTTTGCAGAAACTTCTGTAGCTCTGAGGATGGGATGGTCTTGTTTGGGAACCCTGAGCTCAGATTGGCAAAAGCCTCCACAACGACCTCTACGGGTAAGCAGGGAAATGACAGAGAGTACAGGAAATCACAGGCCTAGAGCTTTTCAGATGGGCATCAGAACAAATCAAACATGCTTGACTCACCAGGAGCTGTAGTCAACTTCATATCTACAAAGTACTTGTCATCATCAAAGAGTTTCGCCATCTGGACCTGTCGCAGGACTTCTCCAGTGCAGTAGATCTGACTGGTGGCAACAAACACACGTCAGGCATCTGATGCACAGAACAACAGGGCAGTTTGTTTGTCTGCCCGCTTCTTGTCTGGCACTCACAGGTTAAGCTCGTAAAACCAAGATCAATAACTTTTTCTACTGCTCTTCTTTGATGGTTCAAAGCTCAGCTTCTCTGCCTTCAACACGCCACCTGCTTTGTCATGGACTCAAAGTTCAGCCATAATAAGAATACCATATGGTGGCTGTTGAAGTCTCTTAATACGGTGAGGACCATCTTCAAAACTCATTATTCATAAAGAAATTCACAAATCATTACACATAACCCAAGTGACTATAAGACAGATTTGCAGCTGTGTTTATCTCGAAGTAATAATCTTAATATTAAATGTGGCCACCTCAATGGATAATTCAGAAAAGCTGCTCAGATTTCAGTAAAGAAGCCTCGATCAAGAAGGTACTTGTGGGAACTAACCTGTCACAAGGTGCCAGGAGCGTGTCCCCAGATGAGAAGAAACGAATGAATGAAAAGATCACCAGAATTCGCCAATGCATCTTGGAGAGCTAAATTATTGGTAGTCGGCAGAAATGAACAGACAGTGAACTGTTTCCTAAGTTTGAAAACTCTGAACCCTGTTTATCAATGATCAGGGGAGGGGTCAGTTTAATATCATACCACAGCCATTATTCAGTTTCAACATAGCATAAGACTAGCCTGCAATTATCTGTCAGATATCAGTACACGGACTGTTATTAGCAACAGTATGAAGGTGTTACATAAGTAATGTAAATTAAAAATACTGACATTAGTGAAACAAAATGGTATTGGATACTGAGATTTAGAGACTAATAAAGTGGTCTTATAAGTGTAAATTTTCACATTACATTCATATACCAACACAATGTGGGTTTTGTGTCATGAGAACCCCAGTAAAAAGACACCTTACACTCATATGGAACTTCAGTGAGCTTTATTTTCAAACAAAAACCATCACAGATGTTAACCATTGCATTTTCACACATCTCAAATCTTTAAAATTGTAGCATCACTGAGACAAAAGCCAATTGAAATAGCCCAAATTGAAAAAGAAAAAAAGAAAAGAAAACCATTTTTGATTTCTTAAATTTGGTTGGTCATTTTAATCTGCAGAAGCCAAAAGTTAGGAAAAAAATAAGTCAAATTTAAGGGCAAAGTTTACAGATCAAATTTTCCTTACCTTGAACTCCCAAATTGTTTATTAGAATTTTTTTAAACCAATTCTCTCCATTTCCCTACCTCCCACTAACCCAGACTGATGTATTCATGTACTCCCAACACTGAACAGATGGATAAGGTAGTGTTAGAGAGTTAAGAAAAGATACATCAGGGCAGCCAAAAAAAAAAAAAAAACCTTCCCACCCACCCAAATACAAACTTTATAAAAAAATAAAAATAAAAAAATAAACCCCAAAAAAATAAAAAAAATTGACGAATGAGTGGACTTTATAGATGACAATTTTTTATGCTTTGTATGAAAACTATTCTTAAACAGGTGAGATGTTCTCCACCCCATTCTTACAAATAAAAAGAAAACAAAACATAAAATTGAATCAAAACCCCAACCACCCATGGCAAAGACCACAGCACATCCAATCACATGCTGCTTTACAGCATCTCAGGAACGAACCGGGATTTTCACGGCAAGTGGTTACTGAAAAACACTGGGCTGCTGCCAAAGAGCCCTGTAACTTATATACTCCTCTCTATGGGCAGATGTTTAAAATCCCCAAAAAAGAAACCAAAGGGGATTAGACCGGTGATGTACAGTACACACTGTGGCGTATGTACTATAGAGAAGAGAATACAAGCTTGGATTCAAGCAATGTCACTGGGAAAAGGTTGCATTTTCTAGAATGTGGGATAAATAACCTTTGCTCAGAATTTGGTAACTAACCATACAGTTAGAACAAACTTTAATTGTATTAAGGAAAACTAACAGCAACATGCCACAGTAGACAAAGCCAATCCATTTAAAAAAAAAAAAAAAACACTCACCTGTATTTTACTTTTTTTAAAATGGGGACGTTGGTGATGTTAAACTCCAACGTAAAATTAAGTAAATTCTGTGCCAATAATCACAAAAAAGGCAAAACTGTATCCCTCCCAACCCATAAAGTTGCAACCCTCAAAACATCACGGGTCAAAATGCGTAACTTATTCAAAAAAAAACAGCAGAAGGGCTAAAGTGTCTCAAGCAAGCCCCTACCAATCCCCAAAAACAGGGAAAAGAAAAAGAAAAAAAAAAAAACCAGGGGGTGCTTTTAGTGTTTGGGGGGAGGGGGATAAATATTCCGCTGCAAAAGAAAAATAAGTCATTTGGTTATCAGCACCCATGAAATACCCAGACTCCATGTTAAATACCCTTGTCCCTACCACAATGCTTCCTCAAACAAAAAAACTAAAATCTCCCTTTCAGCCTGTTCACCTCTGCCCTAACCGAGGAAGTGCTCCCAAATCATGTGCAGCCCGAATTATTGCCCAACCCTTGAACTAAAGTTCAAACTTAAGTGCAGTCCACACTGCAAAAGTTTAGATTCTTCTGTTAAGTCTGTGCAGCATCTCAAGAACATGGTCTTGTTACAAAAAGAAGCCTGCTGACTCACGATGCACTGCATGTCTCTGCCGCTACATTATGTCAGTCCATCGTTTAGAAGTCTTGGCATCCAGTTGTTGGTTTTTTTTGTCCATTTTTCCTTTTTCCAATGTGAACATCCAAGCCTTTTTGAATCCTCCCACCCCTAAACGGTCTGTTTAAAGTCATGTCCTAGTGCCAGTGGCAGAAAAACACATACCCATGTAACAGCTACACATCTCGCTTATAAATTCAACATTTTTGCACGTTGCCAATTTGAGCTGCACTGCAGCGAGTAGCACTATTACATGACGATAATATTAAATTACCTCTTATGTTTAGAGTCACCCGGGTTAGGGGACTCTGCTGAGTGCCTCATAAGTCAGTGTTACAAGCAAAAGGCTGGAAAGGAAATAAGCCTCATGTTTTCACAACCTTTAAATGAGGCCATTTATTTGAGCAACCCATGTCAGGAACTTTTGTCAACACTGGGTAATGGATGAGAGTTAATAATTTAGAGTGAAGTAGTGCAAATCTGAACAACTGTACCACCTGCTGAAACGCTTAGAAACTTGCACTCAAAACTTTGAACAAAGTATTGTTTAGATTTAAAAAAAAAAAAAAAAAGAAAAACGACCAATTTTTATATAACAAAACAAGGGTGGTGCACTGCATGGAAAGGTTTAAACTCTGCTAAACTTATTTCCCATTGGGGGGGAAAAGGGCATAAACTAAATAAGTGCTGCCCAGTGCTGACAGAATCCTGATTTTTAAAAGATCTTTAACACTCTCCTCAAATGGTCATCCAGCCTTTTTAGCTTGTTTTAAAACAATCCATTAAAAAAATAAATGAAGTATTTACAAAATGTTTACAATGTGCCAGATCTGTATAAATGGCACATTTAGGACAGAGTGCCTACCCAATAACAATGCAAAACTGCACTGAAATCAGGTGGAAAGGGGAAGGGAAAGAAAAAGACGAAGAAGAAAAAAAAAGACAAAGTCCACATTCGTCTCAAAGCAGGAGTCCTCATGGCCAAGGAGAAAGGCTGGTCTGAGTCTGGTCAAGTCTCTTAGTGTTGGCCCACTGAAGACAGAGTGGGAAAGAGTTATGGGTCTCTAGAGGCATGGTATGTTCCATGAGCAGATGAAGGAAAAAGCCATTGGGAGCCTTGTGGGACTTTTGAAAGCTTGCCACAGGAACATTAGTCCCATCATTGTCATTATGCCCACTGATATAATCTCAGTTCTCCAGGGGGCTTCTCTTCACACTATAGTCAAGTACGCCAGAGACTGCACAAATCGCACATGCCACCCCATCCTCTCTCCCGCTGTGAAATCCTGTTCTTCATCGCCCCAAAAATCTACAGGTGGCAAATGCAAAATTATTCTTCTGATGTCAAACGGGAGGGGGCAGACAAGCAATGCCAAAAGCCAGAGAAAGATCAAGACTATGTCTTCGAATGAGTTATGAGGGGAGAAAAAAAATAAAAAAATCATCAGGTTATTACTTTTTGAACAAGTTAGACTGCTTGTTAAGGCACTTGTTTCAAATGACTAGAAACATGAAGATGAGCAGAGGAACAGAGAGAGAGTGGGTTGAGAATGTGCTTGCAGGCGATGAGTAGTCATTTTTTTCTTGGGTGATAAATCCTCATGTCCCCTCTTTCCCTCCTCAAATGATTTTAAGTCTTCAGGATGAAAATATCGGTGCAGCAGTCCTTTATTAGGCCATGAGTCCATCCCGATTATTGGGCCGTCGCAACATCACATTCCTTGTGGTGGCACCAAACAAGCAAGGAAAAAAAAAAGTGGGGGGAAAAGGAAGACAGACGGAAGATATATAGTTTAAACAAAAAAAATCCCCTATTCCCTAGACACAGTAGGGAAGGAAAAAAGGTTGGGATAGGGGACAAAGGATTGGTGATCTGGAGGGGGTAGAAAAGAAAATCCATGTTAAAAATCAAACATACATGTACATCGTAAGCTCTAGAGTGACTGAACATTGAACTCGCCTCTCCTGCTCACAGTTTAACCTCCTCTCCACTCTCACTGTGGTACTCGGCCACATATAGACTCTTATCAATACTGCTGGGAATGGGCTTGATTTCAGTACCCAGCTGTTCTTCAATACCTTTCAGGTTAAAGCGGTCATCATAAGTGATCAAGTTAATGGCGAGACCCAAGTGTCCAAATCGGCCTGTGGGGAAAGAAGGCCAATGTCACTTAACACGACTAGCATTTCACTTGTCAAACAATGACATAATGAATACATTACTTGATCTCCGAGCGGAAACCGAACGAAATTCTACTCACCAGATCTGCCAATGCGATGGAGGTACGTCTCCCCAAGTTTGGGGAAATCAAAGTTGATCACCACATTCACAGCTTGTATATCAATTCCTCTTGTGAAGAGATCTAAACAGGGGTCAAAATATAGAGTCGTTAAAGCCAAAGCAAGTTCTGGGTTTAATAATAACTTGAATGAGTCTATCATAAATTAAACATCCAGATTTTCAACTGTACTTACCAGTGCAGACGAGATTTCGACATAAGCCATTTCTGAAATCATGGAACACACGGTTTCGGTGTTCCTAAAGGAAAATTAAAACTTGTATTAGCATAACGTTAACCAAGACACAGAATTCACAATGTCAACAGTATGGCTGGTTTATAAAGCCAAACCAATTTAAATTATAAATCCTGCACATCCTTCAGAATTCATTACATAAACACTTGCACCATTTCAAAAGTCTGCCAACAGCAGTGCGGTAACACCACACGCCCTCTATATTCCCACCTGTCTCATCTTGGCGTGAATGTAGAAACAGGAGTATCCAAGCTGAGAGATCTTCTTTGCCAGGAGCTCCACTCGCTGTGATGAATTGCAGAAGATTATTGACTGATTGATCTGGAGCTGAAAAACAAAAACAAACATTAAAAAGGATGTCTGCATGTTCTCCAACAGTCAGGAGGACAGTGACGCTAATTTTCATATCTTAGATAGAGTGTGGGATGCACAAGGATCATAAGGTTTTTACCCTGGAGAACAGAGTATTAAGGCAATGGACTTTCTGCCTTTCAGTTACATAGGCGTAATACTGAGTAACCCCCTTCAGGGTCAGCTCCTCCATCAGGTTTATCTCATAGGGCTTCTGCAGATGGGCGTTCTGTTCACAAAAACAAGTGTAAATTAATACTTTCTGAACCATAATGAGAGTCTTTGAACAACTGCATACAACGATTATATTATTAGGATTAAAAAAACGCAGCAAACATGCAATTAAGTACAGATCAGTGTTTTCTGCAATGTTAGGCAGCAACGGCAACAATCCATTCTACTGCACACCATACATGCGCACAAAAATAAACAGTGAAGCCCCTAGGGCTGGCCGTGTAATCAATTGAAAATAAAATTAGATTTTGGCTTTGTAACTACTATACAGAAAATCGCAATGATGCTTTTGTTTCATCTCGTTACGAACTCATGGCTCCCCCTCCTTTAGAGCGACATGCTTCTAGCCTTCCTTAAACGTGTACTTTATATTTATGATTTATTATTGAAATATTTCAAATGATAAGTGTACAATAAAGCTCAATTCACTCTTAAAAAAAATCAATTCAGCAGGTTTCCAAAGTAAATTACTAACCAGGTTTAAAAATCTTGATAAAAATAGTGATTATGACTTTTGCCAAACAGATTCTATTAATAAAAAATATTCATGAACAGCAAATCATAACTTTGCATGTGTTAACTGTTACCAAGTTGGTAACTAGTTAGTGGCATGCTCAGTTAAATTAAAATAAAAACAATGCATACTTCAATAAAAAAAAAAACTAACATGTATTATTTTAAAAGCATACTTCATTTACCATCTTTTGTTTAGAAATCAGTGGGCTTACCATGAACTTCTGCACACTCAGTGGGAAGGTGGCAGAGTACAGCAAAATTTGCCTTTGTTTGTGCAAATAGCTCAGAAGCTCCTCCATCATCTGCACGAAGTCCTGTGACAGGAGCTTATCTGCCTACTCGGTAACATGGGCAAAACACACAAGAGATATGAGAATTACGGTATGGCAATTAAGTCAGTTAGTTAAAAGCTCTTATTCACATACCTCATCCAACACAATCATCTGTACTTGATTGACTTTGGCCACTCCCTTTTTGATGAGGTCTAAAATTCTTCCTGGAGTGGCAATGACAACGTGCACTACAAAGGGAAAAGTTCAATCCAATGTTTACAAAGTGTATATGTAAAGTAGTTCAAATAATTTTAAAACACATTTTCCACCAGATTATGAACACTTGCCTGTTTCGTCAAGTCTCAAGATGTCATCACGGAGGTTGGTTCCACCTGTAGTTGCCATGACCTTGACCCCGCCCATGTGTTTGCTGACCTGAATGCATATCTGGCTCACTTGTAGAGCCAGTTCTCTAGTGGGCACAATAACCAACGCTGCAGAAAACATTTAAAGCATGGTGTCAAGTCAAAGCAATTGGAGAAATCATGTATAAACAGGGCTCCAGACTCATTCTTCCCACTGGTCGCTCTTTTGCGACTAACTTTCTCAGTTGGTCGCATGAGCACATGATTTGGTCGCAATTGTTTTGTTTTTTTTGCTACAACATGGGATTAATCAATGCATGCTGATGAACTTTTATCATAGTTTATAGTTATATGTAAACGAAAGAGGTTAACATTCAACCTGTTCTTTTTCATTAGTAGTATTATTTGTGATTTGAATTTTGTGAACGGGAGTTCCTCTTTTGCTATGTTATAAGCCACGGGCTACGGATGCTTTCGCTTTTGAATTTGCGATCTTGTCACGTTTTACAAGAAAAGATAATT